ACCTATTAAAGCATCTGTCTATTAGAAGCTATCCTTTTAATATTCCCCCCAAAAAATGTATTCTTGAAACAGAAAAGCAGCCATTTAATATGGGAAAATGCCCATCCATTCAAAACTTCGATAATGAGAAATGATTTTGTTAGCATTGTGACATTTTCTTACATTTAGCAAGGAAAAAGAAAATTATTCAAATAAGAATAAAGCCTACAAATTAATGCATTCCTCTTCTCCACACACAAAAAATATTGTGGAATTCTAAGACTGGTAAGTGAATATAGCCACTTAACAGAGCTGTTTATTCTCCCTTGTCTCTGTCACCCTCTCAATTAACCGATAAATGTATACGATACTTATTCAACTTTTAGATGTTTACTAGATACACTGTGAATTTCAAGAAATATGTGGCGTATTTCCTCTTCACTTCCTCCAGATTTTACTCCTTTTCTTTCCTTTATTATTTCTTCATTTAAAACATTCTCAGAGAACAAAAAGCATGAGCTCAAAAATTCACTTGCAGTTCTGAAGGCAGAGAGAGGGGAATACTCCTTTATCATCCAGATTTATGCAAACCAAGCAGAAACATAGCCAGAATTTATGGCCTATATCCCATTATTTCAGGGCTTCTGAGGAGGAGAACAGAAATGGATCTAATGGAGAGGTAGGGGCTTAGACACAGGTGAACCTGAGGAGGCGTTCATAATGGGCTAATATGTATTAGGGCTTCAGGGTCAGTGGGAGGCCCTTGAGCTTAGGCACACATCCAGCGTTCCCTGTTGGGAGCTAATATTAAGGAGTCTATAAACAGATAAATGGCGTTTGGTGGACTTAACAAATCCTGACATGAATTAGCAGCTAGTAATCTGAGGAGGAAGTACAGAATACTAGAAAACTCTACACAATTACTTGTATAATTAGTCACATGGGGTATGGCGACTTTAACACTCTTTTGCTAATTTTGGGGTTTTATTCATATTCTGCAATAGGTGTTTATTAATTCTGAGATCAGGGGGAAATACTTCAATAGCAAAGCATCTTTATATAGAAATTGGTTACCAAAATGTTGTTAAAATGTACTTGTCTTATGGTTATTATATTTATAGACCTCTATCCAAAGAAGTACAATACTATTGTTTAAAAAGATCTTCTCTATATTTTATATTTAAGGGCCTCTCTTTCAGTCAGGCTGGGTAAGGCACAGGTACCTCAAACTTGAGAAGGAATAACATATATAGGCAAATTCAGTTAGAATATTTGGCTCTCTGACTTATGAGTTATCAATTATTTTGTGGACGTGAAAATAGTTCCCACTCTGATTGAAGAAAGATAAACACAGGTGCTATGTTTGAATGTTTGTGTCCCCCCTGACATTTGCATTGAAATTTAATCCCCAGTGTTAAGAGGTGGAGCCTTCAGGAGGTGATTAGACCATGTGGGGTCCACCCTCGTGGGAGGATTAGAGCCTCATGAAAAGGCTCTTGGAAACTAGCTAGTCCCTTGTTTGCCTTCTGCCTGCTGCCATGTGAGGATGCAGTCAAAAGGCCTTCACCAGACACTGAATGCTGGCATCTTCATTTTGGACTTTACAGTCTTCAGAACCGTAGGAAATAATTTTCTTTTGTTTATGAATTACCCAGTCTCAGCTATTTCGTTGTAGCAGCACAAATAGACAAAGACAAGTGTGAAAAAAATGGTGATCTAGATTACCAATCATTCCTTGTCAAAGACATAAGTGAAATTACAATTTATTGAATGCCTACTGTGTGCTAAGTACTACACTACATGGCTTATATAAGTCATTTTATTTATTCCCAACAATCCAGAGAAATATTATTGATCTCATTTTAGAGATAAAGCAAGTGTGACCAGAAAGGTTTAATTACTTAATTATTGGCTTAAGGACACATAGCTAGTAGCTGTTGAAGTTGGAATCAATGATTGATCTCAAATCTGTGCTCTTTGTACTACACTACAGTGGACAATTTGATTCTATTCCAACTGTTATAGTCAGTGACTTCAAATGAAAGCTTTTTTCTACCCTGATTTCCTATTTCACAAAACCAGTTTTGTGATTTATAAAATCCACCTGTTCCTGGAGTGAATACACAAAGAGGAGAGTTGCAAATTCTAAGAAGTCTTGAAAGTCTCATCAGTGCAGTAACTAGTGTTCATCTCTGTGCACAAAAATAGGCTCTACCTTGTTTTTGTCAGATCTTGTCCTATCAATGGGCATTTATCTTTTAAGATCATAGCTTTTCAAATTTGATAGAGGTATTTATAGAGGATCTTTCTTACTAAATACCACATGAAAGGCAAATAAAATCTTGAGACCCTAAACTCACTATGCCAAAGGGAACAGTTAAGCTTCAGAACTGAGGCGTGCAAAACCGTCTCCCATTTTGTTCTTAAATAATAGCTGCAAAGATAGGATGCCACACATCTTCCCAGGGAGCCCACCTCACAATTTTCTCACAAGAAAATTCCTTGTGGGCTGCAAGATCTTTATCCTAAAAGAGAGTTCTGTTGAATTCCACCCTGACAATGTAAATCAGCAGCTTATTGTTACAGGTATGGATAAAGACTTAACTAAGAGTCATTCCCCCCTCACCTGAGACAAATACATATTTGACTGTGTCCTCTATTCTATGTTTATCTTATGTAAAAATGCAGATTCACTGAGTGGAGAGGAATGCGTAGTTGACCATTCCTCTACTCCTCTTTTCAGATGTAAAGTGTGAATTTAGTGAATGCTAATCAAGGCCTCAAAAGAATGCACCCACTTGCCTTATTGATCTACCATCCCCCTTTTGTTTTCCTCTTTCCCCTACTAACCCTTCTTTAATTATTTAATTAACCCCTTTAATTATTGAAGTACCAAACCCTCTTTGGAAAAAGTATAGGCCACTGATCCTACTGTGGCTTGTGTCTCTTTTTCCCTGGATATGTTCTCAATTGCAGCAAAATAAACCTCTAAATTGATGGAAACGTGCCTCAGTCATTATTCTTTGGTTTTACAAGAACAACTTTCTCTACAAATCCTAACATATTGTTAGAGTTTGAGGAGGTTAAAAAATGACACTCTTATTGATACAATAATTGATAGAAAAATTATTTAGGTAGTGAGGGCAAGAGAGTCCTTGGCAGGGCTCCCCTTCCAACAAAAAGCAGCCAAAGAAATGATTTGTTTTTTCTTTTTCTTTTTCTTTTTCTTTTTCTTTTTCCTTTCCTTTTCTTTTCTTTTCTCTTCCTCCTTCTCCTTCTCCTTCTCCTTCTCCTTCTCCTTCTCCTTCTCCTTCTCCTTCTCCTTCTCCTTCTCCTTCTCCTTCTCCTTCTCCTTCTCCTTCTCCTTCTTCTTCTTCTTCTTCTTCTTCTTCTTCTTCTTCTTCTTCTTCTTTTTTGAGACAGAGTCTCACTGTTGCCCAGGCTGGAGTGTAGTGGTATGATCTTGGTTCATTGCAACCTCCACCTCCCGGGTTCCAACAATTCTCCTGCCTCAGTCTCCCAAGTAGCTGGGACTACAGACACATGCCACCACTCCTGGCTTTTTTTTTTTTTTTTTTTGTATTTTTAGTAGAGATGGGGTTTCACCATGTTAGCCAGGATGGTCCCAATCTCCTGACCTTGTGATCTGCCTGCCTCGGCCTCCCAAAGTGCTGGGATTACAGGCATAAATAAGCCATTGCACCTAGCCTCATTTTTTTTTTTCCTAACAAAGAGCATACAGAAATATTAAGCTACAAACGTAGGTAAGAAAGCTGGAAACTTGCATGGGGGGATGCCTGCAGCTACACCAGAAGAAAAGGTGTATCTGGGGGCCAGGCATGTCCACCATGGAAGCTCCATCTTCCCTTTTTTGTTAGCACATGTACAGTAAGAAAGAAATGGGCAGCATGGTGCAGCTCAGGCCAGAGGGAGTAGCTACTTGTCCTCACTCAAAATAACATATACTGAATTTGGATTTTCTTTCCCCGTCACCATTACTGTCCTAGCGTCACATCCCTTGGATTCTCTGAACGCCTTATTGCATTCCACACAAAAATGATGTGTTCTCCAACCAAGGAGGTCACCTCACCGTGCTAGTGGAGTCTTATGGATAGTGCTAATGCTCATGAAATCCAGTGACCTTTCCATGTTTCACCACCTAGGATCGGCTGACCTTATACAATATCACTCTGATCTATTGCAATTTTAGGACAAGCTCAAGTTGGGAGACATCTTTGGAGGCTAAGGTGCTCCTCTGAAAAGTGGCCTCCCAACCATTTTTCTCCCAAACTAAAATTTCAGTTAATAAAATATGTGAAGATGAAGCTCTCACAGTTGCACTTAATAATTCACGCTCAAAATTTAGCTTCTCCACACTGCCAGCCAGGCATTACTGACTTAGGGGTTTTAGAGTCCTGGAGAGATCAAGTCTTCCTACTGGAACTTCTGCTTCCTGAGGGGGTTCTCTTCTTCCCTAGCTGGGCTGAAAGACACCAGTAGTCCACTTGCAGCAGCCACAGGCTGAACTCTCTAAAATCTGTTCTTGTTTTTGTTTTTTTAAATACTCAGTCAACTGGCCAAAAAAACACCTCCCCACGTAAAACTATCAATTAAAACTCTCAGGAGGTAACAGACTACAGGGTGAAGTTGAAAGAGAAGGAAGGAAGGGAGGAAAAAATACTATAGAGTGAGAAAGTGGAGTTCCTGGGCAACTAGCTTTATATAAAAGGCAAGTATGTACTAGGAAAATCTGTCATTGATTTCCCATTTATCTGCTGTGCCATAAACCTCAGTTAACTTTTATAGTAACTCCTCATGTCTCCAGCAAACACCCAGAATCCTGCAAAATGAATGACCAGAATCCATCTATGGCATTGAGAGCTGTATGGGCAAGGAGAAGTTTAGTGTAACACCTCCCTCTCACCTTTGCCCTCCCCTACACTTCTAATTAGATGACTCTTTATTAGACTTTCTTTTTTCAATCAGCATAGTAATGTGCCAAAATCACACATTGTCTAATGGCTGTGGAGTGGTCTTTATTTTATGTCAGTTACCAATTCGTCACAGAGAACATAATTCCCACTTCATAAACTTCAGTTATCTAAGGAATTTGGGGTTTTCCATTCTTATCTAGAAGGCAAGAAGGGTTGTTAGGAATAATCACAGTGAAGATATGTACAAGTAAAACTGCTCAAGCACCCATTCTGTTTAGCAGAAGTGAGACAGGTATGCATGGGGCAATGTAAGGAATTAATTTATATTCAGTTCTAAAGCTGAACGATGGAGACAAGCCGTGTCACATGGTCCACAACTGCCGCAGGAGCTCAGTTATTTTGGATTACATTTTCAATCCAGGGTACATAGTAAAAAATTTTGGCATAGATGCCAACATCGGCTCTCAAAACACATCCATCCGCAAAAGACAGGATTCCTTGAAGCATCCCATTGCAGATTGCCGGGGCAGCAGAAACTTCCTGCCAGGAAAACAATAGTAACAGCAACAAAAAAGCAGGTTATCTTTCTGGCAAGACAGAAGGAAGAAAATGGGAAAATTAAAGCATGGAGAGTATTTTACCTTGCAGGGCTGCCTCCTTCCTGGCACGATGCCCACACACAGCATATTTTCCCTGATGTTGTAGGTTTGATAGGCATCGCGGCACTGAGGCTTGGAGATTACAGAGATGTTCACAGTTTGCAGTGAATCAGGTTCCTTGTCTAAAGAAAAGACAGAAGTCAAACTTTCTTAAGAGTTCTCTTAGGTATTAAACTTTCTTCTAAAAAACTTTTCTTCTCCTGCCATCAGAAATTAAAAGAGATCAAACATTCAGAGAAATCAGAACTGTGGCACTTAGGACAACGAAGGTGCAGAAGATGATCAGATTAACAATTTCTTATGATGCAAATGTCTGACCTTATAAAAGCGATCAAATTCTTGGAAGTTATATGTAAATATGAGACACTCCTGCAATGAAATGAAACACTTTGTTTTAAACTTTTTTGGAAATTTGGCTGGGCACAGTGGCTCACGCCTGTAATCCCAGCACTTTGGGAGGCCCAGACAGGCGGATCACCGGAGGTCAGGAGTTCGAGACCAGCTTGGCCAACATGGTAAAACCCTCTCTCTACTAAAAGTAGAAAAATTAGCTGAGTGTGGTGCTGAGGGCCTGTAATCCCAGCTACTTGGGAGGCAGGAGAATCACTGGAATTTGGGAGGTGGAGGTTGCTGTGAGCTGAGACCCTGCCATTGCACTCCAGCCTGGGTGACAAGAGACTCCATCTCAAAAAAAAAAAAAACTTTTCTCGAAATTTAAGCATTCAAAGAGTTTCCTTTGACATGTAATTTTTAGAATCTGGAGGAATTTACAGATATCTGGCCTACTTTCTCATTTGTCAGGTCAAAACAAAACCAAGTATCTGCACAAAAAAGTCACTGAAAAAACAGTTTTCTTAAACATATAAAGCTAGTATGTGGTAAAGCTGGGATTTAAAACTGGGTTTCCTGGTTCCTAATTAAAGTTCTTTTCTTTATGTCAATGGTCCACAAAGTGCGAACTGTGCACACTTATAACAAAATTTGTCCAATCTGAAACAAAATGAGAAAAGCAACAAAGTAGTATGAACACATGTGGCACATGTTCTTTCCACAGACGTTTCTTTGGGAAGAAGTGCTGAATTTTAAGATTTTTTTTTTTTAATAATGGAGGAGTATGTTTAATGTTTTTATTTGAAAATAATGTGTTAGGTCTTGAAAAGAAAATGTTTGAGGTCCTTCACTTTATTTTCCAAGCAATAATTTCATGGCTAAACATTTCTTTTGGGAATACTTCCGTAGGAAATTCTTACTTAACTACTTCATGAGCCAGATAAAAATAAGATGCATTTTTTTTGAAGTTATATCTCGTTTTGACCCATGTGCCATAACCCAGATGAATCAAACATACTGGTCACCGAAGGGACATTTGGCTCTTTCCAAAAATCAGATTGACTGTCAGAGGACAAATAATTTCTACTTCTTAATATATGCAAGAAAATGTGCTCCAAATCTGAAGGTATTTACTAAGCAGTAGATTTAAAAGGCTTGAATCATGGCAACAATGATAGAATAAGTATATATCTGCCCACTGGCTTCTATAAAAAGAAAGTGGTGATGGATAGATGAATGTAACCTGACAGGCTTGTTTCAAATAAAACTCCTTTTCACACTATAGTATCTAGTGTATGATGTGTATTATACATACTCAAACTTATGAGTAAAGTTGCATTAATAATTCTCCCTGAGGGATTATATCATTGTTCTATTTTGCGAAAAGTTAATCAACTCCCCTTCACCACTACTCTCAACTCTCATAATTAACAACTATAGGCAGTTAATTAGGGTTTGCATAAAAATTTGGAGATGGGGTAATGGGCAGATGGGGATGCAACTTAGAAAACAGAAAGCTGCGTTGAGTTGTGGGAGTTTTTTATGGAATATGAAATATGAGGCATAGAAGAAAGCTTAGATAGAATATCTAGTTCAGGAGTTTCAATTTATGTATAGAATATTTTCATTGATAAAAATAATGGGAACTCTTTGTCAGTTTTCTGAAGAAATGAGTGAATGCTTAGAATGTTACCAGTTAAAAATGTTGATTTCAGAAGTTCTTCTTAAAGTTTTAACTGTGTACCTTTATTACAATCTTTCATAAGGAAGTTCTATCTCATTTAGTAAAATATGATGCATTGATTTTACATTTAATACATTGATATTTATTTCAAGTTGCTTTATTGCCTGAAATGGTTTGAAAATACACAACGTCGTAGTCTGCTTTATTTTAGAGTTAAGGAAATTGAGGCTCCAAGGTAAAATGATCTGCTGTCACATACAAAATTAGGATTAGAATACAAATGTTTTCTTTCCACTAAAACCGCTTCTACCATATATGAAAGAGAAAATGATAGAAAGATACAGTGAGTGAGTAAAAAACCCAAAAACCTTGAAGCACTCCTTCAGTGAGGTACAGAGAAAAGGAAAGGGGAGAAAGAGGATGAATAAAGTGGTTAGAAGAAAGCTTCACTAGGCAGAATTGAAGAAGCCAAGAGTTGCAAAGGTGTAGAAGCATGTCTAATTCTGAGAGAACATTGTCTTGAACTCACAGATATCACACACGTTGTAGCTCCAGGTGGAGACAGAGCACATGGTATTCTCAGAGATAGTTTGGTAGGGCAGGTTGGCTAGTTTCACATAGTCGTTGAGTTCAGCCTCTGTTTTCAGCTTGATGAGCATGAGGTCATGATCGATAGACGTGATTGAGAAGCGTGGGTGATGAATCATCTTCTCATAGCCAATCACTTGCAGATGGTTTTCATTGGAGTCTGCTGGGATTGTAACCCCCAGTATCACCCGAAGCTTTCTGGAACAATATAGACGTTTATGAGTGGACTTAACAGAGATGGCTTCTCCATCTTTGTGAGCCTATATTATTATATTGTTCCTCCCCACAGACCTTTTTCTGTACCCTCCTATGTCTCCCAAAGGCCTTTCTAATCCCATTTAATTGGGAGATGGTCTCAGAGAGTGAGAGTCTGTGCCCAACCTGAGAACCAAAAGAATGGAATACCTTTGAAGGCTTATCACTCACGGTAAATTGCAGTGTGCAGCTGTGATCACCCAAAGTGGGTGGATCAGGACTCCAGCGCAGGGCAAGTAGTCAGATTTCAAGTAGACCAAGTAGGGAGGAGTGGAACTGACTGTGTAATCTGGATTAAAGGCCAAAGCAACTGGAAAGAGAAGCATAGAAAAGAAATTCCAAGATTTCACTAGAAGAACTTCAGGAAAGTCATTTAATAGGCTCCAAGTTCCCCTACCCTTTTCTCTAGCAACTTTATCTGTAAACTAAATCTGTAAAATGACTTACTTTGTTCTAAAACATGAAGAAAATGATAAATGGTAGAAACATATTTCTTTTGAAAAACAAAAAGTGTTTAGCTTTTTCGTTGTCAATAAAGTCTTTCAAATTAAATGTTAAACTTTCTTAAATACCTTCCACAATTTAGTGGGTTGTATGCTAAGTCAATGCATTTTTTTTTACTAGCAATTTTAGAATGCTTTAATAAGTCTTATCTCTTTTTCCCAACAACAACTCAAGACAGAATTATGTAAGTATCACGACAAGAACAGACCAAATGCTAAGAGTCTGAGGAGGGGAAAAATAATTTATTGTTTTAACAAATATACATTGAGCACCTACTATATGTCAAGCTCTGTTTTAGGAGCTTGGGCTAAATAGTGAACAAAGTAGATATTCCTGCTCTCATTTACTACGATTAATGAATATATTCAGTAATAATAAACACAACACACAAACTATGTAGGTTATTAAATGGTGATTAGTGCTCTGGAAAAACACACAAGTAAACTACATATGATGTCAAATGTTGATTAGTGCTATGGAAATAAAAGTAGGACAGGGAAAGAGAGAAAGGTATTACCAATTGTGTGTTGGGGGAGAAGGAGGGGTATCAGGTGGTATTTGTTTGCTGTTTGTTTGAGACAGGATCTCACTCTGTTGCCCAGATTGGAATGCAGTGGCAAGATCAGGCTCACTGCAGCCTCAACCTCCTGGGCTCAAGCAATCCTCCTGAGTAGCTTGGACTACAGGTGTGTGCCACTACATCTGGCTAATTTTTAAATTTTTGAATTTTTTTTTTATTGAGATGGAGTCTTGCTATGTTGCCCAGGCTGGTCTCAAACTCTTGGGCTCAAGTGATCCTCCCACCTCAGCTTCCCAAAGTGCTGGGATTATAGGCGTGAGCCACCACATCCAGCCTCAGGTAATATTAAACCAGTCATCAGAGTAGAACTTCATGGGCAATGTTGAACAATAACATGAAGATGGGGGAAGTTGCATAGTCAAATATCTGGGTGAAGGGACTCCAGGCAGAGGAAACAGCTGCAACATGGGTCCTGAGGCTTGTGTCAGTTATGTCACAGAGGCCATGGCTACTGACCCAGAGTGAATGAAGAGGAGCAGAGCAGGAAAGGGGCTCAAAGGTGAATGGAGGGTTTTGTAGACCATTGTAAGAACTCGGCCTTGTTTCCTGAGTACAAATGGAACCACTCAAGGATTTGTGCAAAGAAGTGATGACAGTCTCCTCATGGAGAACCTGTAGAGTGCAGAAGTATAGAGGTAGAGCGATCTGTTCGGAGAATAATTTGCTAATCCAGGCAAGAGGTGGTGGCTTGGATCATTGTGAGAAGTGGAGACGGTGAGATGTGATTGGATTTAGGATACATTTAGAAGATAAAGCCAATAACGTTTTTCTAAGAGATCAAATGTGGGGTATGAGAGAAAGAGAAGGTTTATGCATAAACCTGGGTTTATGCCTGAGTAACAGGAACTGTGCCAGGAGATATCTGACTCTTCAATGTTCTGCTCTGCCCTCTGTGGTGCAGAACATCAATTCTGTTGCAGGCAGGTCCAGAGTCAGCTCTTAGGAGTGGGTCTGGTATTTGAGTGACAATGTCCACACCTCCCGCAAAAGCACATAAGCAATCCTCCTGTGGCAGGCAGGCAGGCACTATCACAGGAGGATACTTGATGGGAACAGGGCAGTAGGGAGGGACAGAGAACCATTCTACACTTGAGCTCTGGAATGACACCTCTCGCTGTTACTCATCTTTCATGCTTTTCCCAGGATTTCTCTTTGGTGAGTAAAGAGACAAATATGCACACACTCACCAGTCAGATTCAAGAGAGCCCAAAGGAGGATAAACTTCATGTTGATGTTGAAAGCCCAGTTTAGCTGCAGTCTCTGGAAAACATGGAAGAGAGAGAGAAAACGACTAAATAAAATAAAGCAAGATTCTAGAATTGGAAAAATATATCATCTGAATTATTTTAGTAGCAAGATTCAGTTTTAGAAATGGTGTCCATTACTCAGAGGAGGACGTAGTGTCGTCTGTCAGAGAGATAAGAATAGAATCAAGTGACTGGTCCCCAATACGACTGAAATGATTCTGGAATTCAGAGTTCTGCACTCCGTCTTCAGGGAAGAAAGTACCAAAGCTAAGATAAGTTGAAGTTCATGATGTCTCTATAGCCACCTCCTGTCTGGTCTCCTTTTTGCCAGCCTTGGCAGGCAGGTGCCCCTTTAAACTATGTGTGGGCTGCTGCCCCTCCTGTCTGTGTGATGCTATCCCCCACTATGAGATGGTATTTTTCTCCAGTGGACATAACGTAGCCCTGTGGAGCTGACATTGCTTCCTCTGCCTGACATTAAACTCCTCTTCAAAATACGTTAACCTTTTCCTTCATGTCACTGTTTATCCATTTATTCTGTGAACCAACCTGCAAATTATTTATCTTATGTATCTAACTTGTGCCAGGATCTGTGCTTGCTGTTGGGGTTGCCTCAATTTACGGACTTCTTCCTTACCTTCCAAGGGCTTACAGACTAGTGGGAAAGATACTTAAGCTGATGGTTATGAAACAAAGTATTCAGGGCTAAAAATTGAGATATGTCACAGACTAGACACAAATATTTGCAAAACACATATCTGTTAAATAATTCATGATAAGCAAATATTAAAATTCAACATTAAGAAAACAACACAACCTAAAAGTGGGCCAAAGATCCTTACCAAATGTTTTAGTCTGCTTGGACTACCATAAAAAAATACCACAGTCTAGGTGTCTTACATGACAGATAACTTACTTTCTTATAGTTCTGGAGGTCAGAAGTCCATGATCAAGGTGCTATCAAATTCAGTTTCTGGTGAGGCCTCTCTCCCTGGCTTGTGGATGATCACCTTCTTACCGTGTCCTCACATGGCCTTTCCTCTGTGCACACAGAGAGAAAGAGGGAAAGAAAGCTCTCTGGTGACTCTTTTTATAAGGACACAAATCCTATTGGATCAGGGTCCCACCCTTCTAACCTAATTTAGCCTTAATTAGTTCCTTTTAGGCCCTATCTTCAATAGAGTTGCATTAAGGTTTAGGGCTTCAAACAGATATATTTTGCAGTGATGGGGAAGATAACACCAGAGAATATAAACAGATGGTAAATGGCATATGAAAAACTTCTTAACTTAGTATGTCATTAGGGAATTACAACAACAATAGGATACCACTACATACCCTGTGGAAGGGCTTAAATCCAAAGAGTAAAAAAAAAACAGATGCTAGTGAGGATATGAAGTATCAGGAACTGATGCTGGTGAGAATTTATTGCTGATGAGAGTGCCAAATGGTACAGTCACTTTAGAAAATAGTTTGGAAGTTTCTTATTAAGCTCAACATAACCTTACTATATGACACAGCTATTACACTTCTTGATACACCAAAAGATTTGAAAACTTGTCTTCACAAAAAATCCTACACATAAATATTTATAACGTCTTTGTTCAAAGTTGCCAAATCTTGGAAGAAACCAACATGTCCTTCAATAGACAAATGGATAAGCAAAGTGTGATTCATCCGTATAATGAAATGTTATTCAGAGATTTTATGATTTAAAAAACTTAACTCTCAAGTCATGAAAAGACAAGGAGTAAACTTATATGCATGTTGCTAAGTGAAAAGAGCTAGTCTGAAAACATTATATACCATACAATTCCAATTATATGACATTCTGGGGAAGGCAAAGCTATGAAGACATATGTGTATGCAAGAACCTTTTTCCTATAATGACTTCTTTTCCTCTGGATAGATACTGAGCAGAGCAGTGGGATTGCTGGATCATATGGTAGATCTACTTTCAGTTCTTTAAGGAATCTCCACACTGTTTTCCATAGTGGTTGTACTAGTTTACAATCCCAGCAACAGTGTAAAAGTGTTCCCTTTCCACCACATCCATTCCAGCATCTATTATTTTTTGATGTTTTGATTATTGCCATTCTTGCAGGAGAAAGGTGGCATCACACTGTGGTTTTGATTTGCATTTCCCTGATCACTAGTGACGTTGAGCATTTTTTTCATATGTTTTTTGGTCATTTGTATGTTTTTTTTTTTTTTTAAGAATTATCTATTCATGTCCTTAGCCCACTTTTTGATGGGATTGTTTTTTTCTTGCTGATTTGTTTGAGCACTTTGTCGATTCTGAATATTAGTCCTTTGTCAGATATATAGATTGCAAAGATTTTCTCAGGGTTGTCTGTTTACTCTGCAGATTATTTCTTTTGCTGTGCAGAAGTTTTTTAGTTTAATTAAGTACCATCTATTTATCTTTGTTTTTGTTGCATTTGCTTTTGGGTTCTTGATCATAAAGTCTTTGTCTAAACCATTGTCTAGAAGGGTTTTTCCTATATTATCTTCTAGAAATTGTATGGTTTCAGGTCTCAGATTTAAGCCTTTGGTCTATCTTGAGTTGATTTTTGTGTAGAGTGAGAGATGAGACTACTTTCATTCTTCTACATGTGGCTTACCAATTATCCCAGTGCCATTTGTTGAATTGGCTGTCCTTTCCCCACTTTATATTTTTGTTTACTTTGTTGAAAATCAGTTGATTATAAGTATTTGGCTTTATTTCTGGGTTCTCTATTCTGTTCCATTGGGCTATATGCCTATTTTTATACCAGGACCATTCTGTTTTGGTGGCTATGATCTTATAGTATAGTTTGAAGTCAGGTAATGTGATACCTCCAGTTTTGTTCTTTTTGCTTAGTCTTGCTTTGGCTATGTGGGCTCTTTTTTGGTTCCACATGAATTTTAGAATTACTTTTTCTAGTTCTGTGAAGAATGATGGTGGTATTTTGGTGGGAATTGAATTGAATTTGTAGATTGCTTTTAGCAGTATGATCATTTTCACAATATTTATTCTACTCATCCATGGGCATGGAATGTGTTTTCATTTGTTTGTGTCTTCTATGATTTCTTTCAGCAGTGTTTTGTAGTTTTCTCTGTCGAGGTATTTCACCTCCTTGGTTAACTATATTCTTTTTTTTCTTTTTTTAGTTAATTAATTAATTTATTTTTTTGGCAGCTATTGTAAAAGGGATTGAGCTCTTGATTTGATTCTCAGCTTAGTTGCTGTTGGTGCATAGCAGTGCTACTTATTTGTGTACATTAGTTTTGTGTCCTGAAACTTTGCTGAATTCATATACCAGTCCTAGGAGCTTTTAGGATGAGTCTTTAGGGTTTTCTAGGTATGGGATCATGTCATCAGCAAACAATGAGAGTTTGACTTTCTCATTACTAATTTGGATGCCATTTATTTCTTTCTCTTGTCTGATTGCTCTGGCTAGGACTTTCAGTACTATGTTGAATAGAAGTGATGAAAGTGGGCACCCTTGTCTTATTCCATTTCTTAGGAGGAATGCTTTCAACTTTTCCCAATTCAGTATAATGGCTGTGGGTTTGTTATAGACAGCTTTTATTACCTTAGGGTATGTCCCTTCTATACCACATTTTGCCAGTTTTGCTAAGGGTGTTAATCATAAAGAGATGTTGGATTTTGTCAAATGCTTTTTCTGCATCTACTGAGATAATCATGTGATTTTTGTTTTAATTCTTTTTATATGACATATCACATTGGTTGCCTTGCAGATGTTAAATGATCCCTGCATCCTTAGTATGAAACCCACTTGATCATGGTGGATTATCTTTTTAATATGCTGTTGGATTCTGTTAGCTAGTATTTTGTTGAGGATTTTTGCATCCATATTCATCATGGATATTGGCCTGTAGTTTTCTTTTTTGTTATGTCCTTTCCTGGTTTTGATATTAGGGTGATACTGCCTTCATAGAATGATTTAGAGAGGATTCCCTTTTTGGAATAGCATCAATATCTTTTGGAATAATGTCAGTAGGATTGGTACCAATTCTTCTTTGAATGTCTGATAGAATTCAGCTGTGAATCTATCTGATCCTGGACTTTTTTTGTTGGCAACTTTTTAATTAACATTTTGATCTTACTGCTTGTTATTGGTCTGTTCAGAGTTTCTATTTCTTCTTGGTTTAATCTAGGAGGGTTGTATATTTCCAGGAATGTATCCATCTCCTCTAGATTTTCTAGTTTATGTATGTGAAGGTGTTCATAGTAGCCTTGAATGATTTTTTGTATTTCTGTGGTATCAGTTGTAGTGTCTCCCATTTCATTTCTAGTTGAGCTTATCTGGATCTTCCCTTTTCTTTTCTTGGTTAATCTCACTAATAGTCTATCAATTCTATTTATCTTTTCAAAGAACCAGGTTTTTTTTCATTTTTGTTTTGTATTTTCTTTTGTTGTTATTTCCATCTCATTTACTTTTGCTCTAATCTTGGTTATTTCTTTTCTTCTTCTGGGTTTGGGTTTGGTTTATTCTTGTTTCTCTAGTTCCTTGAGGTGTAACCTTAGATTGTCTCTTTGTGCAATTTCACACTTTTTGATGTAGGCATTTAATTCTATGAACTTTCCTCTTGCATCTCTTTTGCTGTATACCTGAGGTTTTGATAGGTTGGGTCACTATTATTGTTCAGTTCAAAGAATTTTTAAACTTCCATCTTGATTTCATTGTTGATCCAGTGATTGTTCAGGAGCAGGTTATTTAATTTCCATGTATTTGCATGATTTGGGGGGTTTCTTTTGGAGTTGATTTCTAATTTTATTCCACTGTGGTCTGAGAGAGTACTTGATATAATTTCGATTTCCTTGAATTTGTTGAGATTTGTTTTGTGACCTATTAGAAAGTTCCATGTACTGATGAAAAGAATATATATTCTGCAGTTGTTGGGTAGAATGTTCTGTAAATATCTGTTAAGTCCATTTGTTCTTGGGTATAATTTAAATTCATTTTTTTGTTGTTGTTGACTTTCTGTCTTGATGATCTGTCTAGTGCTGTCAGTGGAGTATTAAAGTCCCCCCACTATTATTGTGTTGCTGTCTATCTCATTTCTCAGGTCTAGTGGTAATTGTTTTATAAATGTGGAAGATCAAGTGTTAGCTGCATATATATTTAGAATTGTGATATTTTCCTGTTTGACTAGTCCTTTAAAAAAGTTACATAATGTCACTCTTTGTCTTTTTAAACTGCTGTTGCTTTAAAGTTTGTTTTGTCTGATATAAGAATAGCTACTCCTACTCACTTTTGGTGTCCATTTGCATGGAATATCTTTTTCCACCCCTTTACCTTAAGTTTATGTGAGTCCTTATGTGTTTGGTGAG